TGACTAATTTCACTCAGCATATTGTCCTCAAGCTTCATCCATGTTATGTGTTGGCTTGCAGCTTCATTGTTATTCTTCAAAGTAGCATAGTATTCAATTGTGTGTATGTTAGTAGGCTAATTTTTAAGTTGATAATTTTGTATGGCCCACGAGTGATGTTAGAAATATCCAAATGGCCCCTGGCCGAAAAAAGGTTTCCCACCCTTGGGCTAGAGGATAGACAACATGTTAGTGAGGTGATGGGGAGGGCAATATACAAGAAGGGGGATGTTGGCAGAAGAGTGACGAAGACAGGTGAAGACACAGGGAATTATGCAGGGGTTAGAGAGGGTAGAGGTAAATAGAGCTATATATACAACCCTAGAACAACAGTGTTATGTGGATAGATACATGGACTGATACCAGGCTGAACAGGAATGGGAGGAAGGGTGAGATATATACCACAAATGTATAAGGGCTTTTTGAACTGCAAGGTCAGTGGTTCAAGCTTACCAGCTACTCTTCAGAAACCCTATACAGGGTCACTATGAGTCAGAACTGACTTGATGGCACTTAACAACAACATATAAGGATTTGAAACACGATGTTTTTACATGGGTATTTACCTTTATTGCAAATACACCTATGAATGTGGTAGAGCATATAATGGACAAAATGATGAAAATTTCTTAGATATTATCAAACGCAATGAGCTGCTGGGCATAGTCTCAGGGGACACCATGATCAATTGGCATAACATAATACACAAGACAATGCTCTACATCCTATTTTGGTGAGTTGTTGCTGTTGTTAAGTGCTGTTGAGTTGGTTCCAATTCATAGCACCCCTGTATAATGTTTCTGAAGAGTGGCTGGTGGGTTTGTACCCTGACCTTTCAGTTTGCAGTCCAGTGCTTATCTTACAGCACCACACCTGGACTCCTTGCTGAGTAGCATCTGGGATCTTAAAAACTCATAAATGGTCATCTAACGTGCAACTGTTAGTCTCTCTGTGGAAGAAATAAAAGTGATGAAAGCTGAAGATGCTTGGAATCAACTAGTTCAATGGAGCAATGGAGCACGTTAATATGGGTCACCATGACTCTAAGACCAGAAGAACTAATTCCAGCTACCACTACCAACAGCTCTGATATGGATCACATCAGAAGGTCCAGGATAGAGTGTGAGAAAATATGGAACAAAACTAAAAATAATAATAAAATTTTTTTTTAAAAAGACCAGGCTTACTAGTCAGAGACTGGAGGAACTCAAGACTACTACAGTCCTCGATCACCCTTCAGGTCTGGAAAGGACTCACTCTCATGGCCCAATTTTCAGCCAAGCAGTAAGGTTGGTTTGAACTGACCTTACAGGTCAGTAGTTCAATTTCACCAACTGCTCTTGGAGACCCTATAGAGGGTCCTTATGAGTAGGAAACAACTCAGTGATACTTAACAACTGTAGATAGGTATATAGAGGGGACAACAACATGAAAAGACCATGTTCACTAGGAAATGGTCTATCATTCAAGATCAAAGGGGCAATATTTGCTTAAGGACAAACTTGAGGAGGGCTGGGAAGGAGGGTGGACTAGAAATGGGAACCACAGGAAGTGGGATAACTGTTGTTGCATGGAAGGGGATTGCAATCATTGAGATGAAACAAAGTATAAGATCTGTTGAATGTAAAACTGATGATCTTGTCTGTAAGCCTTCACTCAGTTCACAATAAAAAGTTAAAAAAAAATTTGGATGATAAAATCTGTAGGACTGAATGACTAGGTTAATGTGGGACATGAGGAAGAGTAAGGGTCCTAATTTTTGACTGGGGAGTTAATGCTGGGTGAAGGATGTCACCAAAGAAGGTAGGGAATTCAGGTAAAAAAGCAGGTTTAATGTGCGCAGAAGTAGTTGGGTAAATAGAAAATAATTGTTTCTCTTTTGGCCATCTTGAACATGAACTGTCTATTGACATTTGAAGTGTCATAGCTATATGAAGAGACACTATCTCAAAGGTATTTTCTTTCTTTGCAGAAGTCCCAGGAAACAGGTGCTGTCTTAATTATCTAGTGCTGCTATAGCAGAAATACCACAACATAAGCTCTATACTTTTCTCCTAGAAGTAGGTTGGATGGATCCACAGGAATTAAAACAGAACCAGATATCTGATATGGACTTTGAGTTAAAAAATCTCGGAAGAAAAGAATAAAACATGGGCTAAGACTGACATAATTTTGTCAAAATCTCTTTTGTTCATGTTCTGTGCTTAAGCAAGAGGGATCTGAGTGTTTTTACCTTAAGAACAGTCAGGAAAGGAGGCCTAGGGAAGTCTGATTCACCCAGTCATATGAGATTACCAAGGAAAGGAAAGAAAAGTGAATGGCAGGACGTACTACTAACACCACTTTGTGATCCCTTAAAGTAAGCTTGGTAGCATGGTGGTTAAGTGCTCCACAGCACTTAACCTCAGGAGAAAGTTGTGGCAGTCTGTTTCCCCAAGGATTTACAGCTCTGGAAATTCTGTGGGGAAGTTCTACTCTGTCCTATAGGGTTGCAGAGTCAGAATTGATGGCAGTGGGTACTGAGGCTGTAAGCACTTTGCAAATTCTATCCAAGCTAATTATTTTGTATTTTTTAGATCTGGAACAAGAGGTTAAACAAACTACCCATGGAAACATGACTAGTGGAAGGGGGCTGGAGGTAGAGATTTTAACTCAAGGTGGCTTATCTTAACCCAACATCTGTGCTGTGAACTGCCCTACAGCACTGCTTTCCTTAAGACACAAAGAAGTAGCAGCCTCCAGAGCAGGTGGCCAGGAACAGCAGACAAGTTTCCAGTCTGTCTGTACCTGACAAGAACCCTTAGGGTCTTTGGACTAGAATTTTCAGAAATTCCTGATCCTCAGTTTGATTAGCTGAATTCTGAACACAACACACCAGGGGTCAACAAATGGATCCTTCTAGATTGGATGGATAAAAGTTTACAAGGGATCTAAAAATATAAAAGAATATTGAAGAACAAACCCTGATAGTTATTCTCAAATACATAAAGAGCTATCATATAGAAAAGAAGTAAGGCTTAGTTTATTGAGTTTTATAAGTAACCCACAACATACTGTTATGTGAAAATATAGAATAAAAAATGATATCAATAACAGAAAATATGCAAGCAAGGTAGATAAGCATTGTTGCTGTTAAATACGGTCAAGTCGATTCCAACTCATAGCAACCCTGTCCAGGGTTTCTGAGGAGCAGCTGGTGGGTTTGAACTACCAACCTTATGGTTTACAGTCTAGTAGCATAGTGGTTACGAATTGGGCTGCGAACCGCAAGGTCAGCAGTTCGAAACTACCAGCTGTTCCATGGGAGAAAGATGAGGCTTTCTGCTCCCGTAAAGATTTGCAGCCTCGGAAACCCTGTACAGGGTCGCCATGGGACGGAATCGACTCCACGGCACACAGCCACTTATCCTGAGGAGCCACACCAGGAGATAAGCATTGTTGTTGTTAAGTGCCATCCAACTGGTTCTGACTCATACCCTATAGACGGTTTTCAAGGAGCATTTGGTGAGTTTGAACCGCCGACCTTAAGGTTCAATCCGACCTTGATGTCAAGTGCTTACCATACCAGGACTCCATTAGAAGGTAACAAAGACACATCAAACATTGAGGAGGCTTCTAAGTTTGTAAGAAAATTTCATTATCTTTTAATTCCATTTTTTCACACTTTTTGAAGTCCCCTTGTATGTACATAAAATGACTACTTGATTATATTATTTATATTTTATAGCAAAACAAAGTTATGGAAATAGTACAAGTTTTTGTCATTACCTATAGTTTTTTTTTTTTTTTTAACATGGATTAGATAATAAAAAGGGTCACAGCACTTGATTGATGGTCAATAAATATCAGTTTCTGTCACATCCTCAATGACTGGAGGTATTCAGGCTAGAAACTGGCAAATCTGGAATGTAGTTGAAAGAGATTTAGGCAACAGGTCAGGTGACCTCTAAAACTTTCAATCCTGACATTTCGTCATTAAACAATTCTCCAATATTTTCCTCTTGAACAATTTAACTGCGATAATACAAAAAGTATTGTTTCTATTTACTATCTGGTAGTTGTGTTAATGGGAGTCCTGGTGTGGGGCTGTAGGATAAGCACAGGTTCAAACTCACCAGTCGCTCTGCAGAAACCCTATATAGGGTCACTATGAGTCAGAACTGACTCCACAGCACTTAACAACGGTTGTGTTTCCTGTTGTTACCAGCACAGTAAATTGTGAATGGGGAGAGGGTGTGAAAAGAATTCCGTGGAGGGCGGGGATATGCAAATCGAAGCTCGTTTGACAGCTCTCTAGCTTTCCTGTTTGTGAGTGAGCCTTACAGCAGACACTATCAGTGACACAGAGAACTTTAAAATGGGAACTACTTCCCAAAGAGCAGCCGGGTGAACCGACCCCGTGCGTCCTTTCAAGACGCCTGCGGCTATGAGGGCACTCATTGCCGTGGGATCCTTGGTAGTAAGGGACGACAAGGCATCGAGCTCTCGGTGCCCAGTGTGGTGTTAAGGCCCGTCTTCAAGCACATCACTTGGCCTTCACTGCCCGACACCCGAAGTTCGCGCGCTCGCGCTGGCAGATATGAAACGACGCAAGCACCAAAGAGCCCTCGGCAGGCTGCTACGCGGTCTCCACGTGCACGCCGACCAACGTGAGGCGGGGTGGGGCGGAGGCCGTGCGTAAGCAGTGAGGCCAGGCCGTGGGTTGGGGGCGGGGCAAAGACCGCGCGCGACTGTGGGCTGAGGGCGGGGCGCCAGCTGCGCGCGCGCGGGGCGGGGGCGGAGCGCGCAGCGAGGTCCCGGGCTGACCAGCGCTCCTCCCCCTCCGCGCCTAGGCCCGAGAAGGGAGGAGTTCCTCCCCCGGCTCCTTCTCTTTTTTTTCCCACCCCCCTCCTTTCCTCCCGGCCGTTCCTCCCTCCCCCACGCCTCCTCTTCCTCGGTGAGGCGCTCCGGTAGCAGGCAGCATGGCGGCCGTGGAAACGCGGGTGTGCGAGACAGACGGCTGCAGCAGCGAGGCCAAGCTCCAGTGTCCCACCTGCATCAAGCTGGGCATTCAGGGCTCATACTTCTGCTCGCAGGTAGACGCCCGCTTCCCTGAGGCGCCGTCGCTGGACCCCCTCCACCTCCCTCTTCTCGCGCCCTCCGGCCCGATCGGCACGCGCTCCTCCCCTTCCTCTGGCGGGCGCGCTGGCGGCACTTCCTCCCCCCCCCC